GGCGACTAGGGTTTTCGTGGGAGGGGGTGGGGAAGAGAGGAGTGGCCAGGAGGGGGAGGCTAGGGTTTGGAAGGAGAGAGAGAGAGAGAGAGAGAGAGAGAGAGAGAGGTGGGTCGGGAGGAAGAGGAGAGGGGCGGCGCGAGTGCGGGAGGAGCAGGGCTAGGTTTTCTCCATGGGAGCCACTGCCTTTTATACGTCTATGCATGAAATGACGAAAATACCCTCGGCGGGGCAAGGGAATTACGCGCGGTGGCATGCCTAGGGTTCGATCCAACGGCCGGGCTCTCCCGTGGCTTATCCGACGGCCCGGATCGCATCAACCAAACGAAACGGACGGCCGGATCTCCCTGAGCTCCGTGGGCGTCCGGAGGCCGGCTCGGTTCTTGTTTTAGGATGCTTCCTGTGTGCTGCCTGAATTTCCCGCCCGCAAAAAGGAAAGTAAAAAAACGCAGCAACGCTAGGGGAGCATGATCCGCTGGAGATAGAATGTCAAAGGATCATCACCGGAGATTTCCTACCCGTGCGTATACGGGATCGCTGGGAAACCAGTGGCGCCACTTGCCTCCTTTCCCAAGCAATCGCCGCGCGCAGAAACAGGAAGAAACCTGAGGTACGGCGAGATCCCAACCGACGCCCGGATGCTGTTTCCGCAGTCGTCGGAGGACCCCTGTTCGCGCTCTGTGGGCCCAGTCCACCCGCAGCACTCCAGCGCGCGCGCGGCGTCGCTCGCTCCCGTCCCCGCGCCATTCTCTATAAAGATAGATCGACACAGCCGCCCACTGCCACCCACAAGCAAACGCAACGCCAGCCGACTCGACTCGCCTCCCGCGAAGCGGAGCGAGATCAGATCGATCGATCTCCGCCCCTCCCCATCCCCCTCACCCACACCGGCCGCCGCAACCAAAACCCTAGCGCCGCCACTAAGGCTCGTCGTCGCTCGATCGATCGACGGATGGGGACCGATCCCGCCCGCCGCCGCCGCCCCCGCCCCGACCTCGAGGAGGGCGAGTTCGTCGCGGACGACGACGACGGCGGCCGCCCGGAGATCAAGGTGCGCCGCCTCCAGGACATCCTCGACGGGGACGCCCTGCCGTCGCCCACGCCCGAGCGCGAGCGCGACTCGGACGGCACCGTCAGCGACATGGACGCCGACGACGACGAGGGCCCCGCGCGGGAGCCGGGCTTTCCCTGCCCCATCTGCCGGAGGGAGTTCGCGAGCGGCCGGGCGGTGCACGGCCACATGCGCGTCCACCATCCGCACGGCGGCGGCCGCCAGGGAATCCTCGTCGGCGGTGGATGGGCCGTCACCGGCAAGCGGGGCTACGTCGGCGGCAGGTCCGTCTCCGCTCCCCCCCAGGACGAGGAGGAGGAGGAAGGAGTGGGCGACTCCACGTCCATGACTACCGCGGTCGCGGAGCCCGTGATCGACGCCGCGCCCATCGCGTTCGCGAGCAGGACCAGCAGCGCCGATCCGAATCCTCCATCCACGGCCATCGTTCTTGCAGCGGACAATCGTCCCAACCAGGTCGCCGTGCGCCCATCCTGTTCACCGCAATGCGGCGCCGGGCACCAGCCCGCCGCGCCTCAGGCCGTCGTCGCCCAACCTCAGCCAGCCGTCGCCCAAGGCCACCTCGCAGCGGCGTCGCCTACTACGCAATTCTTCGCCTCGCCCCCTCAGGCCGTCGCGCGTCACGTTCGGCGCGCGGCGCCGTCGCCGACGTCACGGGACGAGCAAGGCCGGTGGGTCTGCAAAGAGGAAGGGTGCTACCAGCGGTTCGACTCGCACCAGGGGCTCGGCGGCCACATGGCCGCCCACAAGATGAGGAAGAACAACGAGGCCGCGGCGGCGGCAGCGGCCGCGGGGCTGAACCCGTGCCTGGCGAGCGCCAGGCCGGCGAAGCTGCACCCGTGCAAGCACTGCCCCAAGGTGTTCAACTCGGGCGTGCAGCTCGGCGGGCACATGAGGATGCACTACGAGGGCAAGGTGATCGCAAGGAGGCGCCGCGTCAGCGCTCCCCTGTCGGCGCGGGAGCTCGCGGCAGCGCTCTTCTCCGCCCAGGCGTCCCCCGAGACGTCGACCAGCGCGTCCCCGCCCGACGGGCTCGCGCTGTCCCTGTCCCCGCCCGCGGACGGGCCCGACGAGCTCGCGCTGTCCCTGTCCCTGTCCCCGCCCGGGGACGCGCCCGATGAGCTCGCGCTGTCCCTGTCGCTGTCCCCGCCCGCGCCCGCCGCCACGGAAGTAGCGCGGCCTGGCATCATCTCGCCGGCATTGTCGGGAGGATCCGAGCCGGCGCCAGCGCCGGTCTCGCCGGGCGTCTTGAGGATTTTCGGCGTCAACATCGCGGTGGCGGCTCCCGCGGCGGCCGGGCAGGAAGCTTCCTCCGGCGTGAGCGAGACGGACCAGAGCTCGGCGGCGTCTACCAACATCCAGGAGTAGATTGAGGTGCCAATAAGGAAAGGCTAGATTCGATAGGGATACGACAGATACTTGATAGTAATAGTAGCATTGCATACTGCATGCCGCGGACTTCACGCAGATTTTATGCCATTTTGTATCACAGGTTTAGTTCATACGGTGAAAGATACGTGGATCGTGGGGCATAAGCACCATATGCACGATCGAGTAGTGTCAGAAGTTAAAGTAGGAAATAAAAGCTGTTATCTGGACAGCAGAAGTGAACTGCGTCCCCTTGGGATGCAGTGTGTATATACATTGTCTTCACTCTTCACCCAGAGTCTGTCTCATTTGCATAGCAGCTGCACCTGCATACCGGGAAAGCTATGTGGCGATCGAGTTTTGTCAAGATTTCAGAAACAAAAGTTGTCGTGTGGTCAGCTGAAACTACTTCTGCCTTCTTGAGATCTAATGAACATTGTATACATTGTTTCTCAGTTCGCGAATGATCGCGCTACAAGAAAGCATACCTATTAA